CCTTTAATACAGTTCCTCATGTTGTGGTGACCCCCAATTCCATTGTTACAAATTGAACATAATTAAAGCATAGTGATTAATCACAAAAACAGTATGTAATTATATATGTGTTTTCCGACGGTCTTAGGCGACCCCTGTGAAAGGGTCGTTCGACCCCCAAAAGGGGTCGCGACCCACAGGTTGAGAACCGCTGGGCCTTAAAGGAATGAAGTAACATTATACAGCCGTTGGATCAGCGAGCAGAGGAAGTAATGAAGCTGCTTTTCTCACTGTCCTTGTTTCTCTCGTTCAGAAGTCTCAACCACCTGCTTCCCTCCCAGCCTCAGGCTTACCTGTAGTCTGAAACAAGATGTGGGTGTCCGAGCAGGTAGGCCTCCACTGCCCTTTTGTCCATCTTCAAGATCCGCTTGAGCAGGTCAAACCGCCTCACTCTGTAGAGCAGCTCAGCCAGGCCCATGTGAGACAGCTTTCCTCTTTCATTTAAACTGTCCAAAAGGTCCCTGACGTTAAATGCAGACACATCTGCAACAACATCTCGGCACAGAAACAGAAGCATCTCCCTCTCGTCTTCATCGAGCGCCTCGTCAATCTGATGAATGACCTCAGCAAACATCCTGCAGAGTGCCTTGCAGGGGCAAGACGCCAGTCCAGTCAACAGAAGGCCATGAGGCCACTGACTTCATTTCTGATGGGCTTCTTCATTTCTTTCAGAATCCTTTCCAAGGGAGGTGTTCTGTGGTTAAAAGGGAATTTTTTAAAAATCTTCTTATCAAAGGAACTTATGCTTAAAATTCAAAATAGGGGCTTTTCCTTTCTTGCTGGTCTCCAGGAGATCAAATTCATATTGTGAAGTCTACAAAGAGCGACCCTCAATAGACAAACGGATCCAAAACCAAGACAAAGAAAATAACTTACATTTTAAGGCAAATAAAATCAGAGACAAAATTCCCCCCCAAAACACCCACACGCTTACCAGAAATTATTAGAATGTATGATGTGGTAAGGAATGTATGAAATCATACAAGAAGTTGATTAAACTTGGAAAGAAAATAGGTTGTGACTAAGTGGCAAATTTTACTAGAGGAGGAAAAACCCAATTACTAAGCAGCTGAGAGGACAAACGAAACTGGCATCACAAGAGTTAACTTCCTCTTTCCGTGACCTAGCCCATGCAAGCTGACACAAAGGGGCCGGCCCTCTGTGGGGGATCAAAAATAATGGGAGAAAGAGGCATCTATTCCTACTTCTCCTACTTTAAAATCCCTCATTCTACCTGTAAGTAAGAAACCTTCACTGCCATCCTCCCAACGCCCCAGGCTTTTTTCACGGCTTCGCCATGAATGCTTAGAGGACCTGCCACCACAGCTGAACCTTGTCAAGTTCTGGTCACCTCTTTGTGGCCCCCCTTCCCCCTGGAAGTTCCAGGGCAGCAATTGTCACTAGAGTTCCTGACGGTACCAGTGGGAGGAAGGAAGTGGAACAGAAGATGTGGGGAAAGATCCCAGTCCTGAGATGGGATCTGGGTGGGAGTGGTGGGGAGGTCATGCCATGGGTACATTCTGAACTTCTTTCAGTGGAACACAACCTATTTTCTTTCCAAGTTTAAGCTGCAAATGGCAGTCACCATCTATTCTAAAGTTTCATGGCTATGTTTTACACTTAAAAATGTTAGTGTTCTGGGAGAGTAGTACCTAGTCTGTTTCTATCAGAGAACCTTGGGGGTTAAAAGCTAACCACAGCAAATAAATAACTGGAAACACAACCCAACTGCAAGGTGTTGTTGCTACATATTTGCATACAGGTATATTTATATACCTATGTAGCTAAACTTAGTGAAAAGAACACCGAATCTATTTTATTTATTTATAAGTAATTTTTATTTATATATAATCTCAGTCCACAAAAGATTTGAGGCATCTTAAATAAAATGTCATAAGCAGGAAAATTTCTTTATGCGTAAACAAAGGAAAAAATTAGGTTACAAAGTCGAAATGGGTTGGAGTGGTAAACACAATGCAAACATGCAGGCCAGAAAGGCCTAAACAGATTTTAGTAGGCTGTGAACTTGTCCCTGAGCTTCCTGGCAGTAACAAAGCAAAAAGGGGAATATGGGACATTAAATATATAGTTCTTGCTGTCAAAGAAAAGAAAAACAAAACAGATTCTTAGAGGAAGCACAATTTTCCTAAAATTCCAGAACTATCCATCAATGAAAACATTAAGGAGTCTGAAAGTAATAAAATTACATTTATTTTAGTTCTTAAAATTTTTAAATATTTTATTTTAAAATAGACCATTCATTCATTCATACTTTTCACACTGGCCTCCCACTACCAGTGTAAATGGGTGAGCTCTTAATAAAAATAGACATTTTATCTAATGTATACTTGTTAATAAGTATTGATGTGTCTACGCCAATCCCATTCCCATTCATCCAAAATTCACTTACATATGGCCACTTGTGAATAATTAGAGTAATAAAATTTACGAAATTATTGCTCAATGAAAGTAAAAAGTAACGTACTCAGACTATTTTTTTCATCTGAAAGCTGAATATTAATTTTATGTGTTTCAGAAAGCCTAAATCTATACTCCACTCATAGGCATGTTAATAGCCACTAGTTTCCATGAAATGAGGTCAAGTTCTTTCTTTATTCACTAAAAGTCACAATTTTGTTAGTAGTTTTTATAAATTAACCTATAAAATATTTATATACAGCCCAGCTGGTGGGCTCAGTGGTTGAGCAATGACCAGGAACTAAGAGGTTGCTGGTTCAATTCCCAGTCAGGGAAGGTACCAGGTTGTGAGCTTGATCCCCAGTAGGGGCTGTGCAGGAGGCAGCAAATCAATAATTCTCTCTCATCATTGATATTTCTATCTCTCTCTCCCTCTCCCTTCCCCTCTGAGATCAATAATATATATATATATTTAAAGTTATAGTCCTTTAATAAAGTACCACATGGCCCTAAAAATAAACTATTACTTCATGAATCTTATAAAGAAAAAGCAAAACAGAAGAAATATTTTTGCCTAGGCAAAAAGCAAATTGCTAAAGCATACATTAAAACCCTAAATGCTTAAAAAATAATACCACACAGGGTGGAGTAAAGTAGTTTTACAATTGTTCGTATGGAAAATAATACAACGATTAATAAATAATAATACAAGAATAAACTCATGTTTCGAGTACTCACAACTGTAAACCTACTTTTGCCTCACTCTGTATATTGTTTAGGGAGTGAGGTGTGTAGTGAAAATATTAAAACATACATAGCAATAATAAATACTGAATTGTTTTCCATGACAGGATGAATGGAATGTGACTAGATAAAAATACAGAGGCTGAACTTGTAATATTTTGAAATGACTGAACGTGTAATATTTTGCTTCATGAGTCGGACATTAGGTATACAGATACTAACATAAATATACCTCGTACCACATTCTCTGAACACAGTACAATAAAATTAGAAAACAGTAGCAAGCCAAAAGGAAACCTTATAGATCTTTAAAAAGAAAAATTAGCTTCGGTCCCTTCTGTACACCTATTTCACAGAATCCAGAATGCTTTTAGAGCTTCCCTGGTACACATAGAGACAAGCTTTAGAACAAGGAATCCTAGAGGCATCCCAAAGTTATCCTCAAAAAGAACTGGTCAGATTGTACTTAACATGACTCAAAAGATGTGGCCAGGGGCAAGGAGGGGTGGCAGCAGGTGGAATGAGGTCTGCAGAGTTCTGTGAAGCCCGGTGCCCATCGCTTGCAGCCCCACCCTGCCTGCGCTGCCAGCTCCGCACGCCACTCACCTCCTCCAAAGTCACTTGCTTCGCCTCACTTGGATGAGGGACAGAGGGGCGATGTGAGCCCAATTCTTTTTTTTCCTGCTTTTAAATGCCCAGTCTTCCTGATGTCATCATCATTAGATTAGTTTCATTTCATTCTACTACAGTAAGCCTTTTCTAGCCAGACATAACTGGCATCGATAGGTATATAGAATTCTTTAAAAATTTCCCTTTTCTACTCCCCTGCCCTCTTCTGTCAAATTGTAACTTGATGACGATGCCTCCCGCTCTTCCACCCCCATATCCTGGTACAAACTGTTCCAATCTTCACAGTGAGACACAAAACCTAAGACCAGTTGCAGTTTCTTTTCTCGAGTGGGACTCGTGGGAGGGTTCAATGATCATTTAAACAACTCAGCTGTAAATTTCCAAAGTGAATCCCCACAACTTTGGCCAATAGAACGTGTGCCAGGTTTTAGAAACAGAAATGAGGTATTTCCCATGGAAATACATTCAATATGGGTGTTTATAAAACTGCAGCAAGGGCTAGGGGAAGGGGCTCTTGGCTGGGCTCCTGAGAAAGATTCCTGGGACTCCCACGAAGACCGTATCTCAGTGGGGAATCAGGAGGCCGCCACAGGGAGAACTGAGCTCAAGAACTCCCGCGGTGACCTAGCTACCAGAAGGCAACCCACTGCCACCACACCTGCCTCCACCAACGCCACACCTGGTGACTGGACACCTAAACGCTGCTACCCACATCCCCAAGTCATCACCACCATGCTTGCCTTCAGAGAAACGGAGAAAAGCAACCAGCTATTGGCCTCTACCTCACTGCTGTTTGTAAATCTTGCCTAAATGCACCTAATTAGCAGAACTAAAGTCACATCCTACTTGTAAAGAAGTCGGGGAGATGCAGACTGTAGTTGTCCGCCCTCTGGACAGAGGTGAGAATGGGTCCTGAGGACCAACTGACATTAGCCACCACGGAAGGATAGTCCATGAGGGCATTCCTGTCTTCTTTCTGGTTAAATCCTCTGTGTGGACCCCAGTGCCTGACTCATAGTAGGCACTCAATTAATATTTGTTGAATGAATGAAGGTATGATCACAAATTACTACCAAGTAATAGCCTCACTTTCCTTTCTCCCCAGACTGGACTGAGAGCATAAGCTACAAACTTTCGCCAGCTAGCACCCTCAATTCTCTTGCCATGTTGCCTCCTGGCCACCAGCTCTGCAACACCCTGAGTGACCAGCTGGTCCTGATTTGCCAGGACTTCCCAGTTTTAGCACCAAAAGTTCTGTGTCCCAGAAAATTCCTCGGTCCCGGGAAAAACAGAATGGTTCATCACCCCAGCATCCCATCCTCAACGGTGAGCCTCCTCCACACATACGTCCAGAATAGCAAGTCTGGCTGAAGGGGGTGGGGGTGGGGGAATCACACCACACCCTTAGGTTTTCAACCTCAGCAGCTCCTTACTGCTGCTCTGAAACCATTTTTACAGGACCTTGGTCAGCTCCTTTCCCATACCCTCACAATGGCTCCACCCACGCTGCCCCCTTCCATCCTATCACCACTCAGGGGTGTGGGTTATCATCAGATGACTGACATTTACCAGAGTTGAACTCCAGTAACCTTCCACATTCCCACTGTGGGGCTGGCACCTGTTGTCCATCACCTTGCCCAGGGGCAACCACTCCCCTTGTGCCCTCCTGTCTCCATGAGCTCTTTGGTCAACCTTTCCCTAGGCCCAGGGACTCCTTCCCTCAGCTTGTAAACATGTTAAGGTCTCTTCCATCTTAAAAAACAGCAACAACAAGAAAAAGCCTTAAGCCTCAGATCCCCTAGATCAGGGGTGGGCAACCCCTGGAACGCGTGCCAAACATGGCACGCCAGTAACTTTTGCTGGCACGCGAAACCCTCTCTTATAATCTTCCATTTACAATTTTT